GCGTATTTATCCCGTTCAAAGCAATCCAGATCGTTCTCGAACACTAACGCGCTGGTCCGGCTGGTCGGTTCTAGCCGATTCTAGCTTGATGGCGTCAGCGGCAGATCGCTCACCGCAACGTTGCCGCTGTTTATGTTTAATATTATGACAATTAGATTTTTTGTGGAATTTTCGGAAGCTTCTCTGATTTTTGCAGTTTGTATTTTTTAAATTAAAATCGTTGTGAGAGCTACCAGAATTGCCTCCGCGAGTTACCGGTAGCTCGCGATCGACAGGTTGGCGACCACTGCACTAAATTGTATTTTTGAGTGCACTTTGTTGCATATATGTATTGCTAATTTCAAAAACTACACCTCACGATTTGATCTCTGATTGTGTAGATCAAATCGTGAGGTGTAGTTTATGAAATTACTAAGGATCTTCATCAAGTAACGGCCGAATCAATCAGAAAAAAAAATGTATGTATTGCTATATTCTCAAGTTTTACCTGACGATGTAAAATCCATTATGAGATATTATGCAAATAAATTGATTCATTGATTGAATACCCATAAAGACTCTTGGCGATTCAAAATTTCAGATTTTTAGAGAATTGACTTTTCAAGTAAGAAGTAAAAAATGTGGAATACACATTCCAAAGCAAAGCGCATTCCTTACACAGAATAAATATCAGTAATTTGATAGAAACCATGAACATAGATTTCAAAGAGTAAAAAGATGATGTGAAAATCATTTTATGCTCTCAAGTTTTTATACTACAATAACAACCACAATGATAAATTCAACACTATGTGACATTTTCTTTGGCACTGAAAATCGCCCCAATCATTTCATATATCTAAAACATTTCTCCAACGTATCAATTGAGTTGAATTTATTGATCATTTTCTTTGAATTCTCGTCCATTTCAGTTTATGTGTTTTATTTTTGATGCCGTCTGGCCGTATATTAGCAATTTCAACTTCTCAAATTTTACAGTACTTCAACTCACCTGACAAAGCAACACAAAATATAATAGCTGTAACCCCTTCGAAACAGTGAATCCATTTTTTTCTTTCGGATCTCTGTCCGCCCACATCAAACATTCTGTAAAATAAAGAGAATTAAAAAAAAAGTTCATTACAATAAACCTTCAACTTACTTGAAATGTAAATTTTTGAATGAAAAGTTAGTTTCTACGATGCCGGTAGTTTTGACACGAGTGCGCAATACATCCTGTTGGGAAGGTACGTAGTTAGGTTGTGAAATTCTGTCCAAAGCATTAAGGTAATATGCAGCGGAGTCATTCAACTGATACTCTCTCGATCTAGCAAAGCACAACTGAACACCCGGATCTTGCCATAGTTTTTTCATTAACATTACTAACTCAGGGGTAAGTTCACCTTCTTCAGCTGCACTGGCATACGTGAAGAATTGTCTAGCTACATCCTGACAAAGAAGAAGCAAAGTTTATCGACATAGTTTGTAATTAAAATAGGTACAATGAGTTTCAATAAAAACATTATTATTATTATTCAATAAATGTTAGGCGGCATAGGTGTTCGAACATATGTTGAGAACACAAAAAAAATGTAAAAATTCAACACTGAAAGTTAGCTTTTACAATTCTGGTAATTGTTGAAAGCATTTTTGAACACTGCAACAGTAAAATTGTTTAATGATTTTTGTACAAACAGATCATTCTGATATAATGAGATTAAAATAGGATATTATTATATAATGAGATTTTCCACTGGAACACTCTGAAGAAGGTTACTGTTTGTACAGATAAAGTTATATACTTTTTATTCAAAAACAAACAGTACTTTGAAAAAAATCATGAATCTAGACAGAAAAATTTACAAAAATCATCTCAACATGATTTCATTCACTGTAAGTAGTTTGTTACAACAGTTGTTTAGATTTACCATATATTTTATATTAAACAGTAGTGATAGCCTTGGGCTGCCTATCCTTATATCTAATACAAGGTGAGGTTTACTNTCATTTTGATCAAACATATATTTATGAAACTATCGAAATATTCTATAAAATACAGTATTCCCAATATTCCTATGACCTTTTATTCCCAAATTCGTTTGACAATATACTTTTGAAAGTTGCTATTCAGTTTTTTTTTTTAATTTCATTACAGTATCTACATATCATCCACTCAATATCCTGTATCCAAAAAAAATATTTAGAGCTGCACTGCATTGATAATACATTTAGACCCTTTCTTTCAAATGACTTTTTTGTTTGTTCCTTATTCATCTCTATTCTTATCCCTCTTTTAAAAAATTTCACAAAGAACTAATTACCAAAAAATTAATCATTTCAGTTTTCAACTGAAAGCATTATTGGCTGATGGTAAATTGAAATCATAGAAAGACTAGAGCTCTAGCCGAATAAGTAGTTGGCACTAAGTTTACACTAAGGTTGGCACTTAATTCATAATTGCATTTGCAAGGCAAAAACGGATCAACTAATTTTACAAATTCTATTTTGGAATGAAGTGTACTTCAAAAATTGTTTTTCATATATGATGAAACACAAATATGATTCAAGTTATCGAAATTGTCTACTGAAGAATGCTGTATGATCCACTATATGTAGGGCACATGGGCTATGTAAGTTCTAGTCAATCTAAGTATAGAGAAAATAAGAACAGGACAAATTTTTATATTTTTTAGAATTGGTTCAACTCGAAAAGTGGAAAAAAAAATAGGCGAAAACCCTATACACACCAACCCAAGTTTGAGTAAACCATGCAAAACCAGAAAATTGCTGGTAATAAATACTACAGTGATCGTAGAGAAAGAAACTTCCATAAAAAATGTTAGAAATGGGTGAAATACCTCTTAGAAGCCATTGAAATGATTCACATAAGTATTGTGATTAAACAATGGAAACAATTTGCAAAGTTCACCTTATATAACATGACTAAGTTCCAATATAGGAAGAAAGAAAGAAAAATGTAATTCAATGATTTTCAAAATATCAAGTAGCAGATGAATACAATTATTTGATAATCTGGCAGAATACCGATGTTTTATTAATGTGATATTTTCATTCAAAAAGCTGACCTGTCCCTTCCCTGTAACTAATTCCCAATATGAATTTTAAATGAGATAAAATTAATTCTGCAATTTCCATTAAGTATATGATTCACCAATGAAAACATTCATGTGTCAGTGGGCTTGCTGAGAATTCCAGGAACAGGAATATTGATATGGAATTATGTACACATGGATATCAGAACAGGTATATTTTTACCCTATTGATTTTCCTGAAAGGATGATTAGATATAGTGTGATAATATGGATATATCCAATTACTCATTCATTAAAGTAGTATTTGATGAATTACGGACTTACTGTTCTGCTGGGTTCAGCAAAATCTATTCTCAATTGTCCCATTGCACGAATTATAGCCATCAAGCTTTGTATTGTATTGCTATACACAACTGGTCTATATTGTTCACATTCTTCAGCACTATATCCAAACTCATGAATTATTTTCATCTGTTTCACAATAGTACTCTTGCCCGATTCTCCAGCTCCTGAAAAAGTTGGTAATCATTTCATTAGCTACTTCCAGGAATTTGAATCATAACAAAAGTCTCACCAAGAAGTAAGAGTTTAACTTCACTGGCTGCTCTTTCTCCAGCTGCCCTAAGGTCTCTATCAATATTTTTGGATATTTCCTTAGCCTTAGCTTTTTCCCCCGTTGTACTGACCGCACAACCCATGTTGGTTTTTTGAATCTGCTAATTTCAAACACTTGTTGCTACTCTATTCTAAACATAAATCGACTCCACCCGCAACCAAATAACATCCGACTCTTGACGGTTAAAAAAAGTCACCTACACAGAACAGAACAGAACAGAACATCATAGGTTTGTTTTGGTTATGTAGGAAACCGTTCAGAATTGCCACAGAATCGAAGCGCAGAACATAACAGTTACAGAACAGTTCTGTAACAGTTCTCACAAATGAAAAATCAAAACGAACGAATCCCCAAATGATAAACCAAAACAAACAAATGAAATGAAATAGTTCCGGATCAATTCTGAAAAAACCGTAACACTTTGGGGACAACAACAGAACTGATCTGAATGAAACAAAATTCTACCCGATGTTCAATTAAACGTCGATTCTTTCCCACTGATGACACAGGAGTGTACCAATAAAACGCAGTATTTGATATTGAGGGGTCAAGTCAGGGTTCGTTGTTGGAAGTGTTGATGTAATTTTTAGCGGCAAATTTGAATTTTTAGAAAAGTATCGGAATTATCACGATGTTATTTGGACATTTGAACATTTCAACCGAACTAGTTTTGTTTTACTATGTTTAGATTCACTACGACTCGACAAAATTTATAGGTTGGCAATCACCTCAAGATTGTCAAATAGCTCAAGGTTCCTGTTACGTCTATAATGTAATTCTATGTCATAGAGTAAACATATTCTGTGGAAAGACTGTATGTTCAGTAGAATACTTTTATTGAAGGTATTCTATAACCTTTATCAAAAGTATTGTGATTGGCGATATTTGACCTTCATACACATCGAAAGGACAGCCTATTTCTATTTATCCGGCATTTACCATCTTGTGACGTCATAAGTGATGAATATTTTTTACTATTTTCAATGTTATTATGGTGATTTTCGTTTGTATATCATTTAATACAAGAAACTGCTCATAATGAACTTCAATATACTGGAGTCAGAAAAAATGTTATAATTTTCCACGTATGTAATTATTTACTATTTAAGGCGAGTAACTACATGAATACCACAAAAAATATCTGATTGGTTACTTCAACCGATAAAAACACACAAACGTTTCGGATAGACGAATAGATGAATCCGTCGGTCGTTAAATATTTACATGTTTTGGTTAATATACACAGTTGAAAAAAGTTTTGAGAGATTTTACGTGACTGTGGATATCAAACTTTATGTTTGGCGAAGAACTTACACAAATTTGATCTGTTCGTAGCCTACGCTTATTTTCATACATAGCAGTGTTTGTGTTAAGAGTGAGGTGACACGATTTATTGATAATTTGAAGACATTGATGCTGAAATATAAGTTTCAACCACAACGTAGATGAGATTGGTGTGGCGACTGCCGAAGAAACTGAGAACATTATAGCTCCTAAAGGTGAGAAACGTGTTGGAGCTGTTACATCATGGGAGAGAGGTCAAGCCATTACAGTAATATATGCTACGAGTACTGCAGGATCTTCCATCCCTCATCTTTTTATTTTTCCTCAAAATATTAGTCACCACAACTGGAAAGAGGTGCACCACCATGCGGGAGCTGTCTATACATGCTGGATAAACGAAAGTATATTGATTTTATAGCTGAACAAAGCAAACCGATAGTAGGCTTTCTTTAAGTAAATTCCTCGCCAACATTACATCAGCCACTCTCACGCAAATCGATACCAACAAATCGAGTAAAGAATAAAAATACTTCCGGGGTAAAAAATTATAGCTGCTTTTCTCTTGTTGACAACCCAAGCGCTTCCGTGTGCTTTTTTGCTTTCAGTCTGAGATCTGCTATGCTTGAGTTTTTGTGTGCCACCGCTAACGCAGCAAATTCTAACGGATACTGGGGGTGGCACAAAATGCTGGCTGCCGCTGCAGCAGCCGAACTGCCTCCCACTGCAACTGCTGCTGCTGCTGCATACTGGAAGAGAAAGACATTCTGTTCATGTACTGTGGTAGGTAATTCTTTTTATTTTAATGATTATACCTATATAAGAACGTAGGCTTTCAATATAGGAAAAAGAAAATAATTTTTTTCTTATTTCTACTAAGATCCTTATTTGTTACGACAGGTTTTGGTTTATTTATTTCAAGGACAAAACACAAGCACTACAGGAAAATCCTTAAGGCGTTCCAAGAGTGGTTCCTGTGCAAAAGTAGCGATTCACATTGGATTTGAATCACTGCAGATTATTTCCATTTGGAAAAACGTTCTCAGGAAGTTTATTCCACATAAAAGCAGTTCTTCAAATGAAACAGTTTTTGAACAGTCCGTCGCGTATTTCTGATATGTACCGCTCTTGGTGGAAGCAAATGTGTCAAGTCACTTGAACACTTCAGTAGAAGAGAGACAAATCTCCAACCTTCCTTCGATGTTCCAGACTATCAAGGTTGCACGTGATGTTCGCGTCTCCAATCAGGCGTATGGCTCTTTTCTGGATGGAATCCAGCAACTTCAGGGTATGTTTGGGGGCAGAGCTCCATACATGAGAACAATACTCCAAAGAAGGTCTGACCTGAGCTTTATAAAACATCAAAAGTTGCTGAGGTGTGTACAGTTTTCTGGTTCGGAACAGTGTTCCAAGCTTTTGAGAAGCAGCCTTTGTAATTACAGCGACATGTGCCAAGACATATTGGTGTCCATTTTATCCCCTCAACAAGCTTATCAAAGCAGAACGCGGAATTGTCTGTTCTGACATTGATATATCCGGTTCGGAGACATTTATCTTTTTGGAAAAAACTGATGCCTGGATTTTCGTGGCATTGAATTGAGCCCAGTTACTTTCACCCCAATTCGAAATCATCGCTAGATCCTCCTTCCACTGCCTGAACCACTGTGCATGCTGTTTTTGGCGAGTGCATTGGCTAGAGATGTGGGGGTTGAGCAAACCGGCCATCGGATGCTTGCTTCCACGTAGTCCCGATGGATACGGGAATGACAGAATCACTTGTGGTTCTGTTATTCCCTAACTGAATGGCATCCCAACGATAGCTTAATTTTAAGGTGTGTGTATCCGTGCCTAGAGGATGAATGACACTGAACCTATCAGCTAGCTGTCTCTACGGAACCTTCGAGATACCGGGCGCCCTTTCGTCGTAGCATCGCCTTGTCACGGTAATGCGGGGCTCTGCCGTGATTGACCTTCTTTCCATAGCTACTCGTGGGACTTTTATGGACAGAGTAATCTTAAAAATTCTTTCTGGCGCTGAGTCTAGAGAGGAAATGGATGTCGAGCTTACGACTCCAACTCCTGATCCCATAACTGAACCTGAAAAAAAATGTTTGGTGGTGCAGAACCTAACCTAACCTACATCCACATTTAGATATACAACCTCCTGCTACCGGTCAAGATGTGCATCTGCAGCCAATGTCCTGGAATCAAAATTTAATGACCAGACAAGTGTACGGTGCCAGAAAAGCAATATACTGGATTCTTGTTTTTTTCCAATGAGTCGTTGAGAAAATATAGCTCCTGGGGAACACTAGCATTGATGGAAAAATCATTCGAGAGATGTCCATCGCCGAAAGCTGAAGAGCCATACTCAAAAAATCATCCAACAAGCCATAGCATAGAATTTTGGCCAGCAAACCCTCATGCAACACACGGCCAAAGGGCTCAGAAATATCAAGCGCAACAGCTCTTGATTCTCCATGATTCTCAACTGCGTTATCTCAAATATGGATGACATACGACATACTATGGTAATTTCTGGATTGGCTTTTGGGTAGTAGCTGTAGTGGAAGAATATTTTTGATGGTGTCTAACACTCAACAAAAATAAACTCCGCCCTTTATTTCAAAAAATGTCTAGGATAGTTATCAATATTTTTTACTCTTTTTTGTATATATTTATTTGAAAATAATTAAGACGATTATTATTATTATTATTATAGATCCAGAAGACTAGCATATTCTCCATCACGGTCATGAATCCTGGTTGGCCAGGTTTATCATCCGAGTAAGTCCGCTGCTTATTGCAAAAGCCTCAGCTTTGCGACCTTGTTCGTTGATATTTGAAAGCTTGAGCCGTTCGATATTGTGGTCATTGAAGTCACCGAACATGGAAATTTCGGTACTGGAATGATTAATTTGCAGAAAGTCAATGCTGTTTGCAAGTGAAGAGAATAGTGCCCTATATTGTGTACCGCTTGGTGGTCGATGAACGCAGCATATGATTTTAGTGTTCTGTGATATTATTTTGAACCACAAAACATCAAAAATTGTGGGGTTCCAGCATTTCCTTTCATTGACAGGAGAGATCGCTTCGAATACAAAGACATATTCTAGAGTTACGTCTGAATCGTGTCAGTGTATTCAAAATTCATTATTTTAAAAAGCTGAACGAATAGAAATTATTACCTGATGAGCGGCAGCAGATATGAAAGCTGAGTTGATTGCGGAAAAGGCAGTTCCTTGTTGCGGAAAAGGGACCGCTGACAGTCTTTCGTAGTTCGCGAGTGCGACTGACCCAGAACTGAGTGAGAGTCCTCTCAAAGCTGGGACATTCATGTATGGTACTACCCTGCACGGTTCAAGTGGTGTGCTAGATGGAGGGCTGTGATTGTTCAACATTACACCTGTAAAAAAAAGTAATGAATTAGTTCATGGTGACTTTGTATCAAATATTTTTTTATTGAAAAGCTCCTTGAATTGATTTTGGAGTATATGCCTTGCTGTGGACAAACAGTTCACTATCAGTATGATTACTGAGTGATAGAGGGCCTGAAACGGTACCCTGCAGCTCTCAGTATTTGTATTTTCCATCGAGTCCCGGAACAAAGTGCTTGGAACAAAATGTTAACGTCGAACAAAATTTACATTTTATATACATCAAACTTCACATTTTAATCTGTGAGTTAAAATAAGATATTAAATATTTATTGTGTCATAAAATACAAAATTACACAGAAAAGGACCAAGTACATTTGAAATGATATCAACCAAGACCAAAATACAGGTTAAAAACATACCTGAAAGGATTGAAATTTGCTAAAATGTATTGAATTGAGCTGCTCATTCGAAATAGCTTCTTTGAGATTTTTCTTCTGAGTAGGGGCAGATAAACTACAATACTCCGAGGACATATCGGTCAGCAGATAAGGTAATTAGTAAGAAAATAATGCCTAGAAAAATGAAGAACGATGGACAGGAATAGAAAATCTATTATTTATGTTTCTCAGTGATCTGTTGTGAATGTCCTCCCTTCGAACTATTGTTATGTTTTTCCCCGTGGGTTGATCAATAATTGACTACACTGTACAATAATCAAAACTAACTTTATTTCACTTTGAATACAAGAAACACTTCAACTAAAACTTCAACCATTATTCGAATGTCTATCGCCTTACTAGATCGCTTGGCGTACCGCATTGTAACTTCCACTTGACTGTGTCGATATGTTCGTGGCTAGCGTTTATATACCCTAATCGAATGCGCTAGGAAATTTCGCCGAATTTTCTTCGAAATCGGCAGCAATATTCTTGCTGCATCTAGAGCAGTAGTTAACATCGTACATTCGCGTGCTCATAGCTACGTCACGATTGGTTTATGACTACCAGTGGCGGACGGCGTTATTTTCTTCAGGGCATGATTTACAAGACTATTTTTTCGGCAAGGTACTTGGGTTGTTCAGTAGCCAAGATCTCGTTGAGAAGACAAGCATAGTGAACAAGACGTGTTTAAAAAAAGTTGCAATTCCCTGATATGGCCAGTGGCGTGTGCTTGAAAAGGAACCGTTGTTATAAAATGAATGCATTGATTTTGCATTCTTTGCTATCTAACACTCCTTTCATTTAATAAATGAGGCCCATAAACTATGTAAGGATAGTTAGTATGCGGCAGAGTTGCAAAGAATTTTTCAGTGGTAGTGTCCAGATCATGTTTGAAGGGAACTAGTTTTTTAAGGTACCGGTATGTTCTCTTCGCGACGACACGTAATTATTTAGAGAATTTGAGCTGTTGGTCAAAAATAATATCAAGACAGTCAGCTCCAGAGTCAGAGGGAATACATACAGGGAACTCATCTAGGCGGCTTAAGTTAAAGGATGACTCAAAGGGTTCTGTTGTTGGGAGTTGAAACAAAGTCAAGTGGCTAGATAACAGTTATCCAAACATAGTCCCACATATCATGGTGTTAGACTTTCATGGCCGCTGTCTGACGAATTGTGCGATGTTTCCGTAGCTTTTTTTACTTGGCGTTTCGTCTGCTTGTTAATTTTTCAACATGATCCCCTTTTAGCTCTATAGGCGACGTTCATAAGTTGGATATCATTTTTATAATAAGAATTGTCTTGCTCCTCAAAATAGCCATCACTTTTTTATCGTTGGAAAATCTTTGACCACTGAGACATTTTTTCAGGTTTGTGAGTATACGTTACAGAACCGCAGTCTACTCCAGAGCTCAATGTCAAAAGAATAGGTGATATTAACGTAATCACCCCATTAATTGATAGATTTGCCAAATGTGTGAGTCAGATCTATTATTACGGCCAGGCTTTGATTGTTCATCAAGAGCAGTTGATCTCAAATGCTTTGAAATTTCAATAAAGTCTTCTGTTTTTTCAAAAGAATTATGTACAATAAAGAAAAACAGTTTTCCTCTACTGGAAACTCCACTCAGTAGAGAAGGTAATCAATTACATTCCAAATGTTCCAGAAGGATATAAATCTCGTTGAATAGTGGAAGCCCTAGAAGTGGGCAGCCATTAAAATATTTAGCAGAGAATGAAATTTGTAACTGAAATTATCTTTAACGCTCGTAGGTCTCGACCCTCATAATTTCTGGCTCGCTATGAATATGTCATGACTTTATGCCCCACAACAAATCTGCGGTACATAATCGAATTTATATACAAGAGTGCGCTAAAAAAACTGCTAAGAGAAAGTTTTCAATCAAATAAAATAATTCCCCTCGAGAGCAATTTTCCAACGCTCAGTCATCCGAATACCGAGCATAAGATGACTGGTCCAGCACCAGGACGAACCCAAGGGATCGCTAAATTACACTTACTGCCTCTCGCGTACATCAACACACCGCCATCCCTTGATTGCGGCCCGGATTCGGGACTTTTCGAGGGGCGTGGAGGGGTGGCCGCGTCGTCCAGGAGATACGAAATGTTCGGATCATTTTGAAACAAATTTTTAAGGAACGCAGAACTACATATTTTCATCACTTGTTTCTCGAAAATTACGACTTCGAAATTCTAAATTTCAACTTCAAATTGTTGAGTAAAGCTGTTTATAATAGTAGTAGTAGTAGACTTTATTTTAGGAATCCTAATATACAATATATAGTTATGCATATATGAATAATTTATATACATATATAATTTCGACTTCGAATAATGTTTATCAAGTCAAGCCTTGGCTTCAACAGTTTTTTTTTGCCAACAAGTTTTATTAATACACGAAAATCCTTTTCATCCATTTTCTTCAAACTAACAAAAGCTGCTTCACTCAAAATGTTATATCCCACCAAATAATGAATCGACGGCTGTGAAATTTGTTTATGTGTCTTTTGAAGATTGGTGTTGACTAAAAATCATATGGAATTAATACGTGGCGCCATCTATGTGTTAGCCTACGAACTTTTAAGCCCACCTGATTCTCTATTTCAACAGCCTGAACTATTCCTTTCAAAAACAGTTTTTATCAATGTTTCATTGACTACAAATTGTAGGGTAATTTACCATGAGAGATCCTCCTAATTTTGAGCGAGCAATTCATAAACAACAATCGCATATTATTTTCACCGGCAATAATCCCACAGCAACATTTTGTGTCAAATACTGAAGACAAAGTGACATTGCATTTGTTTTCCTTGGGTTTTGCAGCACCATCTTGCGGAAATCGTCCCCTCGAATAACAAATTGCAAGACATGCATGTTTATCCGTGTTAGGAATCACACGTTAAAAGGTAAGACTTCGTTAGTCCTTAGCTCGCACACGTTTCTCAACTTCTGAGAGTTGTCGTTCGTATGGGGGCGGCAGCTGATTAACGGAAAAACAGATTTTAAAACAGATTTTTTATGGAAACAACTGAAACACAACTGTACAAAAATGATTTTGCCTAGCTGTCATGGTCTCGTTCTTTCAATTCCATAAAAAAAATACTTACATACAATCCAACGTTTGTGCTTTCTGAATACTGTTTTTGGTAATTAATTTTATATATGACGCACAGTTTCATTTGATTCAATGAAAAGCGTAACATTTTTGAATAACTACTTTGTTTTTCAAGTAACCCTTGATATTTTTCTTCGCTGAATGAACCGCATAACTCTGAGTGCGGTCCTGTCTTCTACCCTCTTCGTATCTCCATCTCTACGCCGAGCTTAGATTTGATAAAATTACATTTGCAAATAGGGGTTAAGTCGTCGTTTATTCATTTCGAATATGGAATAAACATGTTGAGTATTTATTCATAGCCTACGTGTCAAGCTGCAAATAACTATCTCATTTATTTGGGCGGACCTGCTTAATTCAGGCTTTTATCGTTCAACTCCAGGGGTGAATCTACAAGCAGTTAGTAGTTACAAAAATATTTTATTTTAGGTTGTTTAAAAAGTTTTGGCCGTTTTACTGTCATGTATTTTTGTAGCTCCATATCTCAATCAATATTTATTCTAACTGTATACGATCCGTTTCTTTTATCATGTGGTAACATTGCTATATTTTAAACCATAACATATACGATTAAATGGGAAAAAATGTAACTGTCAAGTGTCGAAGAAAATTTACGGGGACTCTCACTCTTTTCGAGTTATACGGGAAAAACCAAAAATACTATTTTTCGTTTTTTTTCGTGATAATCTCACAATAATGTTTTGTGGAACACTCAGTGAGAGTGGATGCAAAACCAATTTGAAACCAATAAAATAATATCTTACCTTTTTGCATTTGATTTTCATGTTTCCTACATTTAGCCCGTCTGTTTTGAAACCAAACCTGTAAAATAACAATAAATTTAATACGAACGTTGAAAATTACAGTTTGTCAAATTTGAGAAACACTTTAAAATTTTGAAATGGCGATATGGAACGCGCAAATTGTAGAATTCCTTAGTCTCTTGCTAGATTTGACAAGCTGTACAATGTAATCCTTAGTAGCCCAAAGATAACTTTATATGGATTGAAATAGGATATAGGTTAGCTTAGGTAAAAGTGAGTGGGTTTATTTGACCCACCATCGCAACCCGCAAGGGTTTATTGTGGCTCACATATATTCACACTCAACCTAATGAACCCAGCTTCTCAACGAAGCCGATTAGTTTGTACAAATATAGGATATAATGAAAGCTTCTGCAATATTATGGTGTGTGCATATAGTAACAGAATTGTATGTACTCAAAAGTCGTCATTCCATTGTCTGCTTCCAAATCATGAATGAACGAAATGACAACACATTATATTAACTAGCATAAAGATACTTGCAAACAAGCTTTTGATTTACTTAACTTCATTTCCACATTTTTCACTGTCTGTAGAGGATTGTTTAAATTTGACTATTCAACTTCAAAGAATACAGACCCGGTATCAGCGACCGAAGATACGAGAAAACCTATCCAAGGAAGCCGTGCCAGCTCAGTTTCTATGCTGAACAAGGTACAACAACCATTTTCATCGGTTTCGAATGAAAATCTCAAATCAAGGGAAGCAAAGTATATTGGTTTATCATCGTTGAAAGTGATTCAGCGGATATTACCAAATGATTCGAGAAACCCAAAAGGGAAATCTTAGAGAAGGATTAAGGGCCAATTTTCGCCAAGATCGGCAGTAGGATATCAAAGATTTTCCTGAACTCTGCCAAAAAATGCTACCTTGGGTGGGATGCAGGCCCCTACGAAGAGAAGATTGATGATTTTCAAAGTGTACCGTATATATACAGTGCATTTCTTTAATGCTCCCCCCCCCTTTAATTTTTTGAACGGGTCAACTCAAAAAATTGAAATCTGGGATAATGAAATTAATGCATGAATACTTT